AACATCTCTTTAATCACCAGAAAACATCAATCTTTTTTTTTTTTTTTTTGTATATATCAAGTCAAATTGTACAGGTATAAAAAATAGGAAAAGTCAAAAAATCTGAAAATATAACAACCCAAAGGAAACATCATATTTTCGTATCAAAAAACAAACCAATAAAAACATCATATAATCATTATCATACATAAATGTTCAGAGATCCATCACAATCAACTTCACATATGCAGTTATTAATGCCCCACCTGTATTTAAAGGTCTCCATATCCATTATTAAATTGTAAAAAGCAAATTCAACCTTTAAACGTGATTTTATCAAACCCCTAAAAATCAAAGTAGCATCAACCCATTCCAACAATCGTATTTTTCCGTGACAGCCAAATAGCCAACTTTGCTTGGCCAAAAACAAAATTCACTAATACATTGGTCTCCCTTGTGGAATGTTTATATTTAGGACCATAGATAAAGAAAACTTGACTAAAAACCTCCCCTAATTCACGGCAGCATTCTTCTAAAAAACAAAACAGAGGAACAAGCCTTTCACATTCAGAAAATAAATGAAAAACTGTTTCCGATTGTCCACAGAAAGGGCAACCCTCCCCTACCTGTGGATCAATGTGTGCTCTGTGTCAGTTCGTAGCTATTATACCATGCACAATCCGCCACTGCGGGTCTCCAGACCGTTTCTCAATGGGGAGTTTATACAAGGTTAGGCTTGCCGCGATAGACGGTGTTGACGGTGATACCGGTGTTAAGCCGCAACACCGGTTACGTCACTTGCCCACCGCGTCACCGACCCCCACCGTCGTTTTGATTTTTTATAGTAATAAAAATAATTTAGTTCAGTAAAAGAACAGACACTACAATTAAAAACTGAACGCGGCTGCTCAATGCAAGGTCCTCCAACTACCTTTGGGTAAAGAGCCTGACCCAAAAAAGTCCAACCACTTAGACTCCTTCACAATCTCCATAGTATGACAGTGAAGAGCCTTTACACACATCACATATAGTTGCTTCTTCCCAACAGCACTGAAATGTCCTGACTGCGGTGATGCAAAGGATAGGATGTTGACTTCTGCTTCTTGCCACTCGCCATTTTCTGCAGAAACCTCCAGGTCTGGGAAGGATACTACTTCCTCCCCACCAGGTACAACCAGGGACACATTGTAATTCTGCGGCAATCGTTCCTGCACCTCGGTCAGAAGTCTCTGGGCAACTCGAACAGATCTTATGCCAAGCTTAAGAGCCAATGTCTCTGCAGACAACCAGCCATCCTCGGAGGCTAGATGTCCTACTTTAGTGATGTTTGCGGAAAGAGCAGTATTTCTCAGAAAAAGGGATTTAAAAATATCCAACTCAAGTGCTGGGTTGAAAAACAATGGTTCTTCCTTTAGCCAATGAAAATGAGTGTCACTTAACTCTCGAGAAATCCTGAAGAGTGTCCATGATTTTAACACTGACTTGTGAAAGGATGGCAGACCACTTAAGTCCAGTTAATCACCATCCAATAAAAACAAGTGACGATCAAATCCCATCTTTCCTGCTCTTCTCAGAAGGGCACAAGCAACCCCAAACCAACTCACGTTCTCTCCACAAAGAAGCCTTTGAGCTGTCTGGAGTCTGAAGGCCTTGATCCGTGACCTAATGTCGATGAGCCCCTGACCCCCCTCTTGCCTAGGCAGATAGAGGACTGAGGCTTTCAGCCAGTGTTGTCCTGACCAGAAAAAGTCTATAAGTCGCTGCTGAATGTCTCTTACCAAATCTTCTGGGGGCTCCAGCACCATCATTCTGTGCCACAAAGACGAGGCAACCAAGTAAGTCTCTTTTACAAAAATTCCTTCTGCTCTGAAGTTAGAACAGGGAGATCCTGAAGAAGTTCTTTTCTAGCATGTCCATCTGAATTTTCAGCAGCAAAAAGAGTAGAGTAAAAGTCTACAGCCAGTCTGCGCATCTCCACTGGGTCAGAAGTGATATGCCCAATACTGTCCTTTAGACTGTACATCTGTTTATCTTGAGAAGCTTTGCGTTCCAAATTAAAGAAAAAAGAAGTAGGAGCATCCATGTCTCTCACTGTTAAAAACCTGCTCCTTATAAGTGCACCCTTTACTTTTTAATTTAGAGCTTAAGGAAAGTTTATTTTCAGTCCACTTTTCCTGTAAACCAACAACATTGTTAACGGTCATGTTTCTCTCAATAGCAATAATTTCTTGTTCCAGTTGCTCCAATGTCTTCTTTGAACACTAAGTGGAATAAGAGGCGTATTGCTGACAAAACAACTTTATATGTGCTTTCCCCACTTCCCACCACTGAATTATGCTATCAAAACGGGCCTTTTCAACTTTCCAACTTTCCCAAAATAACTTATGTAACGGAGGCCAGCGAGTAGGTGCTGTGCAGGTAAACCTCACTCCCCTGATCACAAGAGACGCACTAGCGACTGACGCTAGAGGCTGCAGTCTTTAGCCCCCTTGTTAGTGCGTCCGCCTCCCATGCCGGAGACCCACTCGGAATGAGAACGAGGTGTGGCGGTGAGGATCCGGGGGAGAGGGGTTACATTGGTGCCGTGACCCGGATGGGAGTGAGGCTTAGGGGGGTGAGTGTAACGGAGGCCAGCGTAATCAACGGTGATAAGTTTGTGATCAGAGAAAGACATGTGGACAATAGTTGTATTTCTAACTCTATTTCTCATATTTCCAGATACATAAAAACGGTCCAAACGTGCAGCAGAAATCAGACCAGTGCTGACTTTCACCCAAGTGTACTGTCGTGTTGAAAGATTGTGTTCTCTCCAAACATCTAAAAAATTCAGGTTCTCAATTACACTGGCTAAACAGAGTGCTGACTGTGAATGTGGCTCCTCCCCATTTCTATCAAGTGTAAAGTCCAATGTGCAATTCCAGTCCCCCCCCAAAACAATAAAATCTTCATTCTGGTTTTGCCTTAAAAATTGTTTCAGCTTAATGAAAAGCTTAATTCTGTCGGGGCCAGTATTAGGGGCATAAATATTCACAAACAAAAAGCAGAAACTACTTATTTCTGCCCTTACAATTAGCAGCCTTCCTGGTTCTAACTCTTGTTTCAATAAAATGTTGGCTTTAACAGCAGGGGAGAAAAGCACAGCCACCCCTGCACTTAAATTAGTCCCATGACTGAGAACATGTTCTCCCTCCCACCACAACCTCCACTCAAATTCATTGCTTTGGTTACTATGAGTCTCTTGAAGGAAAATAACATTTAACTCTTTCAAATTAATTAGTTCCTTTAAAAAATGATCCTTTCTTACATCCCTCATCCCATTCACATTAAGGGATCCCATTCTTAAGATCTCCATAAAGACGAAAGCGGGAGAGAGAAGACGGTATAGAAAAGAAATACAGATACAAGTCAACATGTTCATTTTGTTTTCCCTCTTATTAGCCTCTCTTTTTGTGTCGATTTGCCTAATTGTCTAATTGCAGTAATATGTTTCTTCAGACGAAAACGCTTTTGTTGTGAAAGTTCCTTATAACTACTCACTTTTCGTGCCCACATCACAGAAGCGACGAACTTATCGAGGTCGGGGAAAAAATGTCGGACTTCTACACCCGCTTTACCTTTTGTTTTATCAAGAAAGGAATTTATTTCTTCAACAGAGTACAAATCCTTCT